AAGTCGTTCAAAGAGTCAACTACCTCGGCAGTTGTATCAGCACCGTTGGAATTGAAGACAAGGTCACAAACCATATAGCAAAAACTAAAGGTGCTTTTGCTAAGCATCGCCATCTATGACGTCGGCGCGATATCACACTTTCCCTGGAGGGCAGAGTGTACAATGTACTCGTACGGCTCTGAAACCTGGCCCGTTAGATTGGCAGACGTAGAGGCTAGTTACGTTCGACCATTGGTGTCTTCGTACTCTGGCTCATACCTGATGGAACAGCTTGTGAGCAATGAGCGTGTTCAGTGCCATGTTTATGGCACATGAAGAAGTGAGCCGCACGGCACCGCTATATCACGCACCAGACTCCGATGACTGGGCCACGTGTTGCGCATGCTAGCCTACCGACTCCCGCGAAGTGCGTTGTTTGCGCGTCGTTGGTGTGGGCGGAAGACGAGGGGTGGCAAAGCGATGACTTGGTTAAGAGGAATGAAATTCCTTAGTACGAAGTTGGCCTCGGTTATATCCTCTCGGCTCCCTGATTGGGGTCGGAAAGACGCAGGATACCGTTGTTGATATGACAAGGAGTCGACCTCAGTGGTTTTTGTGTTATGAACTTCGTTGTTCCCCTCTCCAAGCATGATCTTATTTCCTAGGCATAATAAAATGCTTCTTATTTTTGTTCGTCGTAGTCAGCCGACAATCCAGATAAGTCAACTACCTATCCGGAAAAGTTTTTCCGGATAGGTAGTTGACTTATCTGGATTGTCGGCTGATTGCGACGAACAGAAATACTCACAAAAATCGTTCTATCCATAAGTAATAATGCTTTTTGTGATACAATACACAGCTGTTAGCTCTCCGGAGCGACGTCCTTCCGTTACTAGTTACTCAGTCTGTTGCATTTTTTATTTTCTTATGAATTGCGGCACAAAAGCTGGGGTGTTTTCCTCCTCTAGCTAACGTGCATAATAATTATGATGACGGAACCTGACCCTATGGATGTGTAGTCTTCTAGAGCCGACTTATCAATGTACCTGCCAAACGGATTCCTTGTTGTCATCTGTTCATTAGTGATCACCAACACTTGTATATTAGCTGCAGACTGGGATCAGCACAGTAGCAACATGCAATATGAAAACGGTGCTGAATACTGAAGCATACTTCTTACGAGTCCTGTCGGATTTGCCCATATAAGCCAAAAATAATCCAGTTTTTTAGGCGTACAATGTTGCGGGTCGCGATTCATGCTAATTTTGCACTATACTTCAATTTTTAGACTCCGTTTGACCATCTAGAATTAATCCTTTGCTACCATTTATTTTCCCTGTTACATCTGTGTCATCCGCTAATGAAGAGGTCACGTCATGCGGCCGTACTCTAGCTCAGACCTCACTTCATCCGCGGTTGCCAGTCCAATTTTCCTCAGACATTTTGCGCTTACGCTGTTTAGAACCAGTTCAAGGAGCGCTACTCGGTGCTTCCCACCTTTTGGATCTAACTTGTGTGAATCATACTGTTGTTTCTGTTCGCAGTTTGGTTAAACTGTTTGCCGGGATCTACGCGTGTAATAAAAGCACTTCCAAGCTGTTCCGGGATAATTTTGGTCGCATTCGGGAGATGAAGCTGAGGACTCTCAAACGACCCTGCAAACACATCTGCAAGCTGCGGCATAAGAAAGCTACGGGACGCAACATCTTGAAATATGTTTGGAACCGATAGAGAATTCATGATTTCAGAAGGGTCTAAAAGCAACCGGTTAGTGTAGTTGGAGGGCTACGGAACATTTTGACTCGCTCATCCACCAAACTTAGCAGCACTTCTCAGCTCCCGCTTGCATCGTCGCGTAACGCGAGCCGATCAATAAGCACCGCGTCGTCGTATGGGTTTGTGCGCACAACCACGAGACGGCCGATCGCAGAACCCGGCAATGTGCACGCGACCGCGAGAGGTAGTGAGACAGCCACCTGTCTCGGCAAACTGACTTTGGCGCCTGAACAATCAAACCAAGGTGTAAGGGTGGACTAAGCGTCAACACAAAGTGCACTTGACCCAATGAGCGCGAGTGACCGGCCCGCAATGTCCAAAGGTGCCTGTGGAACGTCTAATAAGATAGTAAAAATAGAACGTTCATATTTCAACTGCTCGATCTATCTCTATGCAAAATGCGAAAACAGCAAGCCAAGCGAGCTTAAGCTTCACAACAATAGACCAGAGTAATTTTGGTTCTAGATGAAGTGTAGTACCGTTCAACAAGTTAAGACCGTCACTGCATTGTTCCAGAAGTATGAAAAGCTGGCAGAAGTGATTGAGCAACCGTTGGGCACCGAAACAGCTTCAGTAGGCCTTTCCACCGAAATCCACTAAAAGCCAACTCCACGTCAGGTGTCACCCTAACAAAGTGACTCTTGTGAACAGAACTACTGCAAATCACAAAAGCGTTCCAAAACGCTTCACGTCCAGCTCCATTGCAACTGGTTCCCCCAAACCCATTTCCTTCCACCACATTTCGCCGAAACTCAGAAAAAGCCAATATTAGTGGCAGCTGAGCCATCAATAATCATCGACTGCAGTTTATACTACCACACCGAAGACTAACATGAGCAACGACGTTGCACTGGCAAGTATCAGATCGTCCGGTCTCGCGACCATGACCTACACTACTCTGAAAACACACAAAAACAGTGGGGTGCCACATCGATTACATGTACCTAGGATGCTACCGTTGCTTGTTTGAAACCTCGGATACCTTCAAATCGACCGATGGAGTCGGAATGAGCGTCAGTGGAAGATTGAAATACTGACTCGACCAATAAACTTTCTTTCCTTTTCCTGGGATGACTGCGCCGATGTGACAACAGTTAACGAGGCAGGCAACGAAAACCAATGCATAAACAGCAGGAACCCAACCAACGAAATCTGCCTCCAGCGGCATTTTCAGCGCAATCCAACGTGACCCACTTAAGCCTGATTCTTGGTGTTCTAAGTGGTATCCTACAGATGTGAAATCACACCGGGTTTTCTTACTAGTGACGGTAAAATACTGTCTCACTGCCATATCAACATGGGGGATACACCACTAGAATACCCTTGATTTCGCTGAGCATGTCGGACATACTGCAGCTAAACCTGGTCGGAGCATCTCCTGTTCAAAACATGCAGTTTGAAAGAGTCAATAAACGCCCTGTACGAAACACAAATATGGCCGTTACTAGGTTATGGCTCCATAATCTATTGCAATTCAAAAATGAATGATCTTATAGCATTAGGTCGAGTGCAACGCTCATTCTTTAAACGTATCTTAGGTTATCCCTCTACATTATCATACATGGGTCCATTATGGCTGCGCCGGATGAAACGTAACCTTAGCGTCCTTTTTGATAAACTAACCAGAAAAATACATTCTTCAAATCCGGTCCTGTAACCAAAAGACTCGGCAATGTATCCCATCAGAAACAACAACAAAGTACTAATTAAAAGACGAAGAACTAATCAGTCGGACAACTTTTCCTTAACCGATACTCTGTATTATGGAATAGACTTCCAAGTGAGATACGTGAACTGCAGTCAGCGATACGATTTCGAGAAGCATTACATTCATTTCTTAAGGTTAAAAAAGCTATTAGAACGCTGAGACCAAATAGGACAAACAAACGTCCTTCTGAAATTGGAGCGAGATGGATATGAAATGCCCAGTTTCCTCTTTTTCCCCAGCCTCTATTGACTCCCCCACGGTTAGCAGGGGCATTAAGTAACTTCTACAGATAACGCAAAATTCCCACTTAACGTTACATCTAAGCTTACCAACGCGAAAATTTGTCTCATTTCTCTATTTTATCGCTTTACATTCGTTCTACACTGCTAATTATCTTCCATTTACTGGAGGTTACAGGTCAGGTTTTCCGTGCTCCGTGAAATCCACTTCGATTCTGATTTCTATTCTTTTCGATTGGCTTCAGCCGATGGAAGCACCTGAAAATCTATTTATTTAATTTTCCTCTTTGAATGCTTGCACAAATGGAAACAGACAAACGCCAGACCGTCTTATTCTAGAGAACTTTATAACCTTTACTCATTGTAGTTTGCATTATATTTCATTAATTTTCTTTTCTTTCTATAGTTGTTCACGACTGAGCCGATCTCCTGAGGTGATGGATGGAAGCTTCCAAGATAAACAATTATATCCACGCAAGGTGAATTGTCACAAACCCACTGGCGGGTAGGTGCTGGGTTCCAAGGATGAGTCTACATGTTGACGGCCTATTGCTTACAACACCGACCAAGAAAATCATTCCACATACCGACGGCTTACTTGCTTTAATCCACAATAGCACATGGCTATATGAAGTGTGAGAGTGCAAAGTAACATCTCGAGGAACTACCTGCATGGAAGCAGGTTATAAGGAGATGGTTCTGCAAATGGCCCTCTTACTTCACATGGACTGCTGGCTACGCCTACATTTATTCCAAAACTTGGCGTACTCTACTTTTATTACTTTTCAATAATTGAACACAGCAAAATTTTTCCGAGACCTGGTGTGGCTCTCACGCATCCCTGCCCCCCACGACCGACGGTTTCATCTTTGTTTACACTTATCAGGTAGAGATAGTCGAGCTGCTCGCAGAGCACAAAGGACTAGTGATCATGCCTAAGCCACCAAGCAATATGTGCTGAGTTCCACTCCCAGCTCGGCTATCTCTACCTGATGCGTCTAAACAAAGACGAAACCGTCGGTCGTGGAGTGGAAAGATGGGAGAGAACCACACCGAAAGCCTCCACTTCGGTGACGGTCCCAGTGACCGTATTGTCAGAGTCTGACGTCAAAGTCAGCCGAGGCCACGATTGAGACAGCGTATTGGAATCCAAGACATACGGCGAATGTTCCAAAGCCCGAAAATCATTCTCCGGTATCTGCTTTGCCAGATTCAAAAATCTTTCTCTACCATCCGACTACGTTGTACATAATAGTCAAACAACGCAGTTGTTCTATCTCGCACCGTCGAGAAATATACCAACTATTTAGTGATTTATTTACATTCATCTGTCTTTATCCATGAACATCACGAATGCGTGATACTGTTAATATAAATAACAGCATACACATTACCACACCATATGTTGAAGTGACTCCACTATGGTGAAATCATTCGTAGAAAAAGAGCTGTATACCCCTTGGGCTTGCCCAATTCGGAGAAATAAAAGATTTATCTATTTATTTAACAGGGGAATATCCAACGTACTCGCTTGATCAAGAAGAGATCAAGTAAAAAACGATGAGCGTGTGCGCAAAGAAGAAAAACACGGCGGAAGATCATATGCAGTAGTGCCTTGAGCGAGCACAAACCCGCCTAATTCAATTAGCTGACGCCCGTCCAAAGATATGCAGTGTGCCATCGGAGGAACAAGCACAAAACAGACCGTAATGTTTATCATCAGTCGAGGCGAGATCAGAACTACAACGGACCAAAAAAAGAAAAATTCAACAGACGGATCGTGATCCATTTTTCAAGCCGGTAGAGCAGAGAGGATATAGGTGTGCCCTCCGGAAATGGAGCATTTAAGCAGTAGACTCTTCGTAATTCGGGTTTTTCTTCAATAGCACGAACCCTTCCAAAGGAAGCTGCGTGACAGCTACGTACTCATCGGTGGCCAGTTCGGCGCGCTCTCCATGGGACAACAATACGGGGGTGGTGTGAGTTTGGAAACCGGTGATGGTTTTCGGTCTGCCAGCTTGACCGACCACATCGACGGCTTGGCCGACTCGAACGGTTACCGGGAGCGGTTTCAACTCCTCATCAAACGTCATAAGTAGACGTGGTTGAATAGCCGGAGTCAAATAGAAAATCAAGTAATCATGTCTGCCCATGAATGTCGTTTTCGTGTCCAAGCATGAGACAAGCAGAGTTAGGAGGCCAGCTATACCGACTGGACGAGTAAGGAAACGGTCCGAATGCCATGGAGAGAGCGTGAGAGTGCCTTTTCCGAGATGCGTCAGCCCTTGCGCCAATCGGACCAGAAACAGATTATACGGATCACGGCTGTGATAGACCGCGAGCTGCCGAAGCATGGCCGCTAATCGTGCGTTGTTAGTTCCTGCAGTGGGTGAAAAACACGAAGCGAATGGTTAGGGCTCAACATGGCCGGTGAAAGGAAGATAGCACAAGCAAGCTAGCAGACAATGAAGAAAGATTACGGCAGAGTAGAGCACAATTATCCCAGTGTGTTGTAAATCACCGTGGTGCGTAATTGTAAGAAACTGGACGACTCAAGAACCTCCGATCCAAGAACATAAACATACTGTGCATGTCGCAAGATGATTGGCTGTTGTTATGACACAAGTTGTCATAGTTACCGCAAAGTTGTTAGACATCACCTCAAGAACAGAAAACACGAGAAAGCGACAGGGGTGAGGTAAAACAAATAATCGTCATATATGGCAACACAGAACAGGTTGAACTGCTGCCTCACTGACAGACAACCATAATGGCTCGGCAAAGCAGGTGTGATGATAGGGCGGGGTGGGTCAAGTGTAAAGCTCAGATGGTCCGTAATCGGGACGGTTTCGCCCTGCCAAAAGCAGACAGTCACAAACAGATCTCTACGCTGTCAAGAAAAGGTGGCTTCGGAGTGACAGACTCATTAAGGCTTTCAATGCCTAGCACGGAAGCCACAGTTGTCGCATGGATAACAGTATCAGAAGCATTAAACAAACAGCCCAACTAGAGACAATAACAAATGCGCCAACAGCGCCGAGTGCGATTAGCGTTTTGTAATTTCCCGAGTCCGGAAAAGAGTACATCGTGTGGACTCCAGTCTGAAAGGTTAGGTGAACCCAGAGCACCCAATTTGGCCAACGAAGAATTTACTTTAGGCGATCAATGATGCGGTAAGGAACTGCCTTCCTTGGTAAACAGACATGCGTGTAGCGGGACCAGGAAAAGCCAATCTGTTGATGCGGTATAGTAAAATGAACACCACACTAGTATTCACTTGTGTAACTTAGCATACACAGGCAACGATGGTCAAGAAGTTGAAGGTGCTTGAGGTCTTCAGATTAACGTGGCCTAATGTACAGAAAGAAAGACCACAAATGTGGTCATACAAACGAAACTTTTGAGATCAACAACAATCCATTCATTGCGACAAAAGTGTGAAACTGACAAAGCCTGTCAATCCTGGTGCAAGCGTCAAAACAGGTGAATTTACCAACTCTCCAGTTGATCATCATCAAAGTCACTAAGTGTCCAATAGTGAGAAAACAGCGCTCAGTGCATGCCAAAGGTGTCCATCTATGGTTGGCCGCACCGACACGTAAGTTCATTGTCTAAATCGAACAGTTTCTTCACAATTAGTGACTCAAAATCATTATCATGAGATTTTACGGGAGAGTAAAAGAATATGAAGTCGAAGAAAAAAGTAATAGAGACGAGAAATCAAAGCAACTCCGGTGAATGCCACTCGCCATCGGGTGCAGATGACATGCCACCGACTACATGTGATCTGATGTGCGCGAAGCCAGGGAATAAAGAAAAGCACTAACTTTCCTAAGAAACCTATCCGGGTATGTCAATCAGCATGGAGGGATCGACAGAGCCAAACATGCTGCAAAAGTTGAAGAACTAATATAGGTTGACGGCAGTATGTGTGAACCTATCTGACTAATTGGTGAAAATATGATGTATATAAAGCAGCTCTGAACAGAAAATTGATGGTTCATTGTCATAGGAAATCCACATTCCGAGATACGGTAGGAAGGACACGGCACCGGTAAATTTGGCTATGCAACCATCATAGATGTATGTATGTAGATCAGGCGTCGACGTTCCCGCATCGCCGTTTGGTTGCTGCGACAACCCCATAGAAACCCTCCGTGCAATGACCACACCTATGACACAGCGTTGCCCGGAGCCGAAAATGGAACTCAGCTGTGCCATTTCGGTGGCGAAGTCGGGACACAGTGCTGTGTGGGGACGTACTTACGAACGTATAAATTTTGTTTGTGTTTTATGGTGCGTTATTTCCCTTTTCTCGAGTATATACATGTATACATTCGTTTGTTGCGTCACTCCACACAAATAAGGTCGACCCCGCCGAAATGTTTGACGTGCTGATTCCTAACAAATACAAACTGCCGCCAATACCTGTACGGTTCTCTTCCGTGTAAAGTAGCGCTTACGGTATACTGAGGCTGGTGATGGCTAGATCTTGACAGATGGTCTACCCACTGCCGCTACTGTTGTGCCATGGGCTCATGTCCTGAACGCATCCCCGTGGCGACCGCAGGGTGGGAATTGGATTACGCTCTTCACCTAGCTAAGAGTCAGGACACACCAATCGGCATGAGTCAGTGAACTGACCATGTGCTAGACCCGCTGCCTTTCGGGTGGACATTTAATCGAAGGCTCTGGTTGGGGATCCGAGTCGTTCTCCGGTCAGGTGCGACCGCCCAGCCATTATCCTAGTCCCTCATCTTCGGAGGTTACGAACTGGTCGATGGCCCTCTTCCCGTAAAACCTAGCCATAAAAGATAACAGGTCCACGGGTTATAAGCTTACCGCTCGAGTGGCGTAGAGCACGAGCGCCACAGATTGTCGCTGATGGTGGCAGGTCACTTCCGGATGCTCAATGGTTTGTTACTGCCAGCCTCAAGTCAGGTTGTCACTGGTCAAATTGGTGCAAACTCGCTAAAACATACCTGGGTCTGGTCGTGGCCCCAAGTGTGTATCCTACTACGGTCGCAAAAAGATATATGCATCGTTTCAGTACCTCAAACGCTGCGCGTGACGGACCTCAAGCTGATCCCAATCTGTATCCGCAATCACAATCCAGACCTGGATCTGCTCCTCACTGCCTTGTAAGTCAGGCTATTGAGCCAAAGGCACCGGACGGAATCCCTCAAGCAAACCTCCAAACCACTCACTGCCCTGTGGGTCAGGATATTGAGACAAAGGCTCATGAAATGTTCCCTTGAGGAATCTCACGGTGCAGGCGTTGAGGTCCTGTCTGGTGAAAAATTAATTGATCTTGTTCATGCGGACGATATTGTCTTGCTTTCCGACGATGTTGCGGGGGCACAATCAACCCTGAATAGCCCGTTCCCATTATTTGGCATGCGCTTCGCACCTTCGAGGTGCAAACCGTTGCTGCAGGACCACCAACTGCTTGATAACCCATTGACGTTTCCTAACGAGGAACTTAAGGTGGTTGATTGATTCACTTACCTTGGCAACTGTATCAGCAACAATGGGCACATGGAGACTGAAGTCAGTTAACGCGTTGCAAAGGCTAGAACTGCCTTCTTGAACCTGCGGCATTTTTGGAGACAGAAAGGAGTTGTCCTCTGTCTGATAGGCCGTGTATACAAGGCTACAGTGAGGGCTGTCCTGCTCTATGGGAGTGAAACTTCGCCCCTTTGGTCTGAAGATCTGAGGTGCCTTCGAGTCATTGATCATCGTTGTCTGCGAAGCACTGCTGGTGTCGGATGACACCAGCGTGTCCGCAACGATGATGTGAGCAGGCGAGTAGTAGGTAGTGATAATCATGCTAGCTCCCTAGAACAGCGGGAAGCACTGAATAAGTTGCTTTGGCTTGAGCACGTGCTACGTATGCCTGGACACCGCTTACCTAGAAAGACCTTGTTTAGTCTACCAGGTGTAGGGTAACGCAAGGTTCGAGGTGGACAGAAGTAGACTTGGTAGCGGGAAACAAAGTTACTGACGACCAAACTGGGTGCCGTTGGTTCGTCCCGGCTTCCTGAATGGAGTCCACGTGACTCACCTTGTGCTTGGCTCGAGAGTTAACAGGACATGACCCGCAACCGACACCAGTGGCGCGTCTGCTGCCGTCTCCTAGTCAGATTGTCTGTTTAAACTGTGTTTGATGCTGAGTGACCTGCGGAGTAATGGCTGATTATGACGCGGGGCAGTGAAAGCCGTAAGGAAGCTGTCTCGCTGTTGCCGCCTAATCTTTGCACCATAGCCAGCTGTTTGTGACGGTATGTTGTCAACACAAGGTGCAGGCACCTTAACCCTGAGTGTTTGCTTAGGGCCTTAAGATTTTCAGGTAAGTCCCCCTTCTCTCTTATTGTACTTTATTTCTTTGGTCATCATGGTTGTATGGCAGGGAAGCATCACTTCAAATGGCTGATGTACTACGGGTGATGATGATGACCTGTCCTTTAACGTCACTATGTCATTGTTAATGTTGCATCGGAAGAATAGAAGTTTACGTTTGCCGACAGAGAACGTCATTCGCCACTCTCGGTACCTCCATTGAACGGCTTGCAGCTCCATTTGTATGGCTTGAGCGCAGTCTAGAGCATTCTTTCTATCAAACGCGAGCACAACTATGATATCACGCGCGAAAAGAAAGGGTCGGTCATCTTGGAAACTCTAGAAAATGTAATTTATATAGAGCAGGAATAGCAGTGAGCCTTAAATGCTTTCCCTGTATGCCGCCTCTGGGATTGGTGTAGACACGCTGTTTCGAACTCTGATACATTGGGTGCGTGTAGCTATGAATGATGGCAAGCTAGTAATTGGTAAGCAGTCCCATAAGAGACCAACTTTGTTATAAGTTTTGCATGGTACCCTCTATCGAATGCATTTTCCATGTCTGTTCGGAGTCAGCGGACTTGGCTACGTAGTCAAAATTCAAATTGGCTAGTTTGACACGATCAACCACGGAGGTGTCCATATTGCGATTTGTCGGTCAGATGTTGTGAATTTGGAAATTGCATGGTTTTGTTTGATTATTCTTTTCCTACTTCGATTCAGTAGGGTCGTATGGCTAATGGTCCGGTAATTTGCCAACTCGTTAGGTGATCCCCCTTTGTGTCTGGGTATGACAGTGGCCCGCTTCCACATGTCAGGTTAGACGGCAGTCCCAATTTACAAAGTGTGTACTTTCAGCTGCTGAAAACTCAACCTTTATGGATGCATAAAAGCGAATGCTTGATTAGAATTGACAATGTTCTTAGATTTCAGTCCGGCCCGACGCACTAGTGGCACCATTAGACAGCCACCAAGTTAGTCATGAATGCAACTATTGCCCTGACAGTCAGATAACTATTTGTTGCAAAAATTGATCTTGCCTTCGAGGGCAGTCTTGAATAAACATTTATTCATTTCTTTACTTATATTTACAGGAAATATGTGGAATGTCTATAAATATCGACGAATTATGTGTTGGAAGTGCCCTTCTTCGTTTTGGATGCAGAACAACATTCACCGGATGGTGTTGGCGAGCACTTTCTGCACGGTCTCCAATGAAATCCGGCTACATTCGTTCTCAATGTCCACTTTCAGTTCATCCAGGCTGTTGGGTTTTGTTCTATAAAGTCTACGCTTCAAGTATCCCCATAGGAAAAAGTCCATGGGATTCGGATTCGGTGACCGCGCAGGCCACTTTGTCGGTCCCCCGTGACCGATGCAACGTCCACCGAAAGTCTCATTCAGGTAGGTACGAACCGATTGCGCCGAATGTGCAAGTGCGTCATTCTGCTGCCACCAAACGTTATTCAGTAACCCTTTCGACTGCAACTGCGGAACGATGCTGGTGTGCAACATTTCCACATACGAGGATGCTAAGAAACGTCAGAAATTAGTAATGTTAAACAATCTACCGGAGACAATCCTGGAAAAGAAAAAGGGCTCAATGATGTTCCGACCAGTCAACCCAGCCCAGGCCATGAGCTTCGCGCTATGTTGCACACAGGGAGCGCAACATTGGAGTGGGTTAGTTGTTGCCCAACTACGTTGCGTATCTTCACCATGCAGACGGAAGACCGCCTCATCGGTGAACGCAATGGAATTTACGTTCATACTGTTTGAAAACCAACGGGTGAATTCCAGGCGCTTCAGTGAATCGTATATATTCAACACTTGCCTCTGGAGTGCACTGTACCGTCGGAATATTTTCCTTCAATATCCGATGCACAGAATACGGTGTGGTTTCCCAATGTTGTGCGAGTTGCCGAATGCTGAGATGACCCCTACTGCATACCACTTTCCGGACAGTGCAAGCTGATACTTCATTCGTGACGATGCGAGGCCGTCCGGTTTGCTTGATGTGGCAAACGTTGCCAGTTTCTGCAAATTTCTTCACCACTCGACGCACATACCGCTAGATAATGGACCGTGCAACGCGGTGCATAGTATTATAGCGCCGTGCCGTTTGCCGCGTTGGACCCACACTCGCCATACAGCTGCACAATGACCACACGCTGATGAACCGGCACATTACGTAACTTCGGTTTCGGATGCATCGACGACACTGGTGCAAACTCATGCTCCATTGCTAAAACAGCGAGGTACCAACCACCCCGCAGAGATCTCTTTTGCTGACTTTTACACGTGAATGAAAGCCGACTACCAATCGATCGAAGCAGCACATGTCCAGTGGCGGCTTCGCTGTTTGAGTAACACTCACTTCTCACAGCCGAACAGCTCGGTTCCTTTGGTGTGCTCTGCTATCGAAGCATGACACGTTTAGTGCGGCTTCACTGTTGGGCCAACACTCAGTTTTTACAGTCGAACAGCTCGGTTCCCTTGGTGTGCCCTGCGAGCGTAGACACACAGGTCCAGCCTCTGTCTCCCATCTCACCTCTGCTGACACATTCGGCAAAGTAATTTGCGCCATTGAACGGTTGGTAATTCATCGCGCCGTCAGCAAGTGAGCGGAACCTTTCCTAGTTTCGGACGTAATTATTAGTACACTCTGTAGTACTCGAGGCAACCGCATTTCACAGTAGAGCGTTGTGTGCATTAAAAAGCGTCCTTGGCAAAGTCGAAATTGCCATATTCGAATTAGTAGTTCTAAGTACAAACAACTGGTGCTCAGCACATCAAAGTGCCAAACTTAGGCGATGTTAGCAATCCAGCTCAAGGAAATCCAATCAAGCTGCAAAGACTCAGTGAGAGGGATGAGAGCGATGCTCACTCTAGGCTGACTCGTAGTCATCGCATCCACTTTAATGGACGCCAGCAACCAGTAGTGAGAGGATAGGCCGGACGCAGCCAACTCGATAACCGCGCTAGCCACGAAGAATGATTTCAAACAGGATAAACACGCCGCTTACTGGAGGGGCCACTGTAGGTGCAGTATGTTGAACTATTTCTCAGCCAGCGTGGTTTGTGATAGAGTTACTGGTGGTAGGAAGCTTGTCAGTACCGGGGGGGTATAGCTACAAACAACAGTAGCTCAGCAGCTGCCGCTACTTGCGCTAGGGACAACTGAAGGGAGACTGATAATGTAAATGTAGATGGATACGGTTCTCGCTTGTTCGCGCTAATGTGTGCGCAGCAAACAGCGAAAAACAGGGTCGAAGTTAGAGGAGAAACGGACGTGAACTGGCGTGTTCAAACGATTGGGATTCTCAAATAAATATTTTGGCTGAAAACTATGACTGCAAGACTGCATGAATACGGAGATGGTCCGTAAGAAAATGATAAATGGTCTCGCATGATCCAAAGATAAATGCCATTCTTGTCCGAATAAAAGTACATCATCAGATGCTGTAAACGAGGAATAAGTGGAGCGAATACTACCGGAGAATGAGATCAGACCATCCGCACAATGGGACGTCTCGGTGATAGGAACCAATGTATGACGCGAAATAGAAGAGGCAATTATTAGAGATGTAGAGCAGCGGTGGATAAAAAGCCGTTGGAATCCAACGAAAGGAATGAGAATTACTCACCCGCGCCCACAATGCCCATGGCTAAAATGGAATTATATGACAATTCCGAATCCGCATCATGGCTGAATTTGCTAAGAGTGTCCAACACTTTCAGCTGAGGATTGGAGACGTAGCACAAAGCCAAAGCCAAGGGAACAGCTCGTTTGATTGGTAGCTCTCCGAAACGTAACTGTAACAAGCGGAATAAGCGGGTTGAACAGAGGGAAAACCCAAAAGCTCTAAGAACAGAACGATGGGCGCGAACGGTAAAAATAATACAACAAAAATAGGCCAGAGTGACGGCAGATTGCGCGTTCCAGAGATGTGAGAGCATGGGTTAAACAATCGCACTTCATAAGCAACTCAACATGCAAGCGAATCACATCTAGGTAGGGACTGGTATCATCAAGATAGTTAAAATCGATAACCCTCAGTGGGCGTGGCATCAGTGAGAAAAATACCACTATTTTAGATGACGATGATGACAAAAAGGAATGAAAGTCTAAAAATCGAGCGAAAACTGCCTATTTCGAAAATTGACGCCACCCGTTTAAAAACATGGATTTGATCCAGTATCCGTTGGTGGCGTGTGAGCAAGAGGACCACGTACTACACTAGTGAACCCACTGGAACTCATCCGTGGAAAGAATGAAGACGATGAGCGCAAAATGCGCTCGGGATGACAGCCTCCTGCAGGAGTGGCACTAAGCTCGCAAACAGCAAAGTGTAGATAGTTAATTAATACACCTCCGGCTTAGCCGGAAATGAAAGTAACCAACAATGCTACCGGAATTAGCCGAGCTGATTAGCTATAGCGAACATAAGACAAAGGCCCCATCACGGCTGATGTCTGGTCGACTGTCGGTTAGCTACCGCCTACTCCGTTAAATACGTAAAAATTTTAATCAGATATACTGAAGCTGGAAGATTTCCTGCAGTTTACCCAGCATTTATTACGGAAGGAAACCGGCCAAAGTCAACTCAAACTTGCTGCACCGGAATGGAAAGGTTCAAAGAAGACAACCAGGAATGCCGACACCAGGTAAAATGAGGCACAGTAACGGAAAGTGTGCAGTCGACTAGACCACGAATCAGGAAGCCTAACTCAGTGGGTTAGACTGGAATATGCAGTCAGTGTGGAGATAACGGTACCATTGATAGCATCACGGGAATGAGCGTCTATGCGAAAGTGCAGTACGAATGAGCTGGAAAACCGACTAGATCACTTATCTTTTCGTATTCTTGGGCCTTTTAGTTCACGGGAGATTTGAGCCACCTCACAAGTCCCTCTTCTGTTCCCGTCTGAGGGCTCTCCCGTCCTCCCAGCTTACAATAGGCGCATTGACACTCCGAATCTGATACATGTCACCTTGAATTCTGATGACATTACAAGCAGGACGTACACGTCTATTGCAAAATCATTCAGGTTCACATAATACAAAGATGAAATTTTGGAGGCCAAGAAAAGCAACGAAACGGCATCTCCTCAGGCGGTAATGCGGTTCAAAGGGTACTCGAGGGAGGGGTTGCATAATTTGTCATGAAAGACAAGTGAAAATGGGCACAGGTAGATAACGCGACGCAAAACGGGACGAGTAGAAGAAACGAGTTTGGCACATTAACCAGTATACGGATGGAGCGTACAAGGAGAGCCAGTCTCGTAAGCTGTTGTAATAAACTTGTATCACAATGTGTGCATGAGAAATAGGTCAAAAACGATGCAGAGCCGAGATAGTTAACAGCTCAAAGAACCCTAGGAATATTCCCATCAACTGTACTTGATTTTAGGACTTGAGGAGAAAAGCTATCCGGTGAGGAACATGTACTTGGCGGTTCCGAGACAGCAGTCAATCCGCAAGCTACCATGACCGGCAAACAGCACCTAGAAATACTCTGCGAGAGATGTTAATCAATGTCACAGAGAAACCACTATTCCCGGTGGCCGTGGAGATATTCATCGACCTGGTTTGTGAGTTCAGGCGTCTAGCAGAGTATCTACGTGCACCATCGCGGTAAGAAGCTCGCCCGGCTGGACGTTTGACATTCGGAGGGCAAGTTTCGTCACAACAAGTAACGTACATCATACGCCCTTTATTTGGATGGCATAGTAATGCGCACACTTCTGGGCACCGATGCGTAACAGCGGTCGAATGATCATACGTTGCATTATCTATCGCTTAAACTGCCGGGCTGCACCACATCGTTCTCATAAGGGATTTTCGTCGCACACAGGTGATTCGTTAACCCGTTTTTTCAAGTTGTTTCAGTTCAGTTGAAAAACTATGACCCGAGCACCGAAGTGCGGAGGATCCAGTTGCCACAACTCATGTCGCAAAAAAATAAAAACGGCAAGATAGTGGGGTTAAAATAATTAACAATCAGATGCAAGAACGCCACTGACTGTGCAACTGCGTTATGTCTGATACGGTCTCCAACCATTGGTGTGGACTATCCCAAAGCCCCCAAACATAAAGACGACACGCACCAGCCTGACCAAGTCTATCAGTCAATTTCTTCATGGGTCAATGTCACGTCACGAACTGGTCGCCTCACGGTTTCGCCCAAGTTGGTGCAGCCACAGCGTATAATGCACGCCAAGGAAGCTGATCAACGGGCATACAGAGGACATGACCAAGCAAAGGTAAGCGGTTAAGATCCGGCAAAAACTCGAGTGAAGCAGCAGGTTTCTTGCCAAAAACCAACTGGCGAACCTCAGCATTGCTCACTCGGTGTTCCCACCAGACGTGAGCAATAGTAAGTAAGCACCAATGGTCAAACAAGGCCAAGAGTTTAGTGTCTTAGCCGCGAATTAACCAAGTCTGATCCATACAGTAAGATTGCTTACACAGCGTTATACAACCGACCTTTCACTGACAGACCAATATCCCGCCATTTCCATAGATGGTTGAATTTCTGGAAGGCCACACGAGACTTGCTAATACACGAAGTAACTAGTTCTGTGATGTGACCTCAAGAAGTGACAGAGCTACCAAGGTAAATGAACCGATCCATCACCTCCAGTGGACGTTCGGTGAGAGCTAGAAACGGAGGTGTGTCGGTCCAGCTGTGCAGCAGTATTAGCACTTTGAAGGTGCAAAACACTTGCCAAAGCGCGCAGCGCTACGCGTCAGTCGAGCCAGTAGTGCTTGTATAGCCATTGCGTCAGACCCAAGAAGAGCTATATCGTCCGCATACTTCAGGTTTGTAAGTCGGTCACCTGGCAGAACTCCCACTCCAGTAGAGTCTGAAAGAACGGAGTCACTCATGATCATTTCGATAACAAGGTAGAAGAAAGGGGAAACAGGACAACCCTGGCGAACCTCACTTGTCGTGAAAAACTCAGGAGGGTGTTTCCCGTAGATCCTTACACGGCTTCCGGAGTCACAGCAGAGACTGCATACTAAAAAGTAGTTTAGCTGGCATGCCCCTCACGAATAGGAAGTGCCACAAACTGGCGCGGTTAACAGAGTCGAAGACGGTCATCAAGTCAAGGAAAACCACCACAGTCGGTCGTCTGTATGTGTCTCTGCTGTAAAACTTGTGGAAGAGTAAATATGTGGTCCATGCAACCACGAACAGGGCGGAATCCAAGCTGCTCTTCAGAGATTCCGTTCTCACGCAGATCAGTAAGTCGTCGTAGTATGATATGCGTGAGAAGCCTGGATGCAAAGGAAATAAGGCTAATGCCTCGATGATTTTCGCACAAAGTACGAAGGCCCTTCTCAAAGATGGGTACGACAGTTGCCATTCTGAAGGCACCTCTTCAGTGTCGCAAATCGTGTTAAACAGAGAAACAAGTCCAGTCAACAAAGACTCACCACCATCTTTCAGCAAAAATGGAGGAAGGTCGGAAAGATCATGTCGAATCTCTACCTAAGTGGAAGTGTGACCTCTACTTCCCACGTCGGCTCATGCGATTCGGCAAGCGGCGGCATCTCAGAAGGCCTGCTGAAATGCTCTTCAAAAGGTTCCACCCAAAGGGCTAGTCGACGAAGCAGACAGTGGATCAACTGTCCATCTTTCTCAGCTATTGTTTCGCTAACTGATGAATTTCTCGGACCCGTGTTCCGGATGAGCTGGAATAGCACTCGGCTGTTCCCAATAGCACTGGCTTTCTCCATTTCATGGGCCCTTGCCATCCACCAACGTTCCCGGTTGATTCGAAAACTCCTTGTCAGACGTCGTTTCAGGTAGGTACAGAAACGCTGAAACTCAGTGCGCACCGGAATCTCCGTGCTTCCATCAAGCTGATTGATGCCTCAGAGATCCATTCACAGTCACGACGTCTCAAGTTGGATGCACAGCATGCGTCAAAGACATTCTTTATGGCACATTTGAGACGATCTCAGTGAACGTTCGGTTCACCAACCTCATTCACCACTGATATTTGGTGGGCCAGTTAGTCATGATATCGTAGAATTGCAGATTGCGATTTCGTTACAGGTAAGAAGGTTAGAAGATAGATACTTATTTGAAGCGAGAAGAGTAAACGCCAAGTATGCACACACTAGAGCGTGGTCGGAATCTAGGCACCTTCAAATTGCAGATAGTCTTAGTCTCGTGTGCGCCATCTGTAACTGATGGCAGTATTGTCAATTTGGGTCCATGTCATTGAGGAATTCGGTGGGCGCCAGGTGACATGGTGTGAACATTTGTGCTGAAAAGCAATGTTGCTAAGGTAAAGGTTGTGGTCGGTGCACAATTGCAGGAATCGATCACCATTGTCTGTTCGGTGTGCATCGACCCGGAAGCGGCCCCCCAGGTGTTGTTCATAGTCTGAAAGACGACCCACTTGGACATCCATGTCAACAGCAACAATCAAGATGTCAGCACTCTTCGCCATGAGAAGTAGAGATGATAGCTGTCGACAGAAATCGTCTTTCATACACTGTGAGCTGCGTTCAGTAGGGGGCATAAATTGAGGCGATGTAAAGACACCTTGTCTTCAAACAGTGCTTATTAACTCCAATAGAGGTTCGAAGTCTGACCGCGCACATGCGGCTGTTCACTGGTATTCAGTCGGACAGACTGCATTTAGCATGTACGCTGAGGGCAACATTGTAAATACCTTGAGCCATTGTCTCAGTATCGCCAGTGACGCGAAGAATGTAGCCACCGTAGTCAGATTCAGAACCAGAGAGTCGAAGATCTGTCACGCCGCTGTTATCTTGTACGCGTGTTTCTGAGACACAGCACACACAAATACCAAGTGTTATCGTTTACTTCTAAACTGTTGTCGATACTTTCATAGAAGTAACCTAAATATAAATTCCAGATTCATTAGGCTATTTACTATTACAAATGAAATAGTAGTGGAGGAGACTGTGTAAAATGTACAATCAGTCAAAGGAATTGAAACTGATGAGTCATTTCGGTAGGCAAATAGCAAAAAGGGCACAGGAAAATGACCTTCCTTCGGTCAACAGATGGGCTACTGATGCAACCACAGATGACCGCCCACGCCCTACCCCAGTGTAGTGCATAGTGTACGCGTGCGCGTGTGCATCAATACAAACCTGGGATTTCGCTTTCATCCTCATTGTACTCACTGGCATATACTCTCCCAGTCTAACTAAACCCTAGCTTAGAAGTCAGCGCATACGGCTGCACTTTTACCTGCAGAACATCTGTATAAATATATGGCTAATCGGTGTTACAATATACTTCCACTGCTCCGCAGTTGCTTAGGATTTAACTCGGGCTTAAAAACAACTGGAGGGATAATGCTCCTACAACAAAATGTATCCTGAAAGAAAAGCGATCAGGAAAAGTAATCAAACATTATCGGAAGCTGTCATTTCATGAACTGAAGAGATACAACACCCCATTTTGCTTTCACACATTCGACAAATCCCATCTCAGGATTCGCAAAGATTGCAATGTGACTGAGATGTATTGCGCACACAATTCTAATTCATGATGCACAAATGATATAAGTGTGATTCCAGTTGAAACGCGTATGCCACAGACTGAAGCATATACTAGACATTCGTCAGGCAGATGCACACAGAACCATACACCAAGTTTGTTTACCAAGTGCACACCAATTCACTGATTTACCCGTTGCATACAACAGTTTGTGTAAAGTGTACAAGAAAATAAGTGCGACAAGTTGGGAAGCGAACAATTAATAATAGCAAGTTATTCATAGAATAGTTTTCGATGAACCAAGCCAACAGCGTATACAGAAAGTCCTGCATAAACTGTGATTTCCACCGGGTCACCACGCAACTGTTTTGCTGTTTCAGGTCGAATTGGAGCCCGATCAAATTTTCATGCACTCGCTACCCATTATTCACCCAGGTACCACGTTTACCGTCAGCACGAGCAACAAGGCAATCACCGTGAGGATGTCAACACCGAGGCGAAGTATGCAGTGTGACCGAGTACAACCTGGGTCATGTCTCGCACAATGGAGAAATTATTTATGGATGCATGAAAGACTAACGTTAAACTGTCGATGGGCAGTCTCGGATAACGAAACCGGCCCGGATATGCAACATAAGAATGCGATTAAAGGCGTCTACTCGTCCAACATTGCCAACCGTTGCTGACTTGCAATGAGTGCACAGTCCTAGTAGGCATGCTACGTTCTTAGTGGGATCCCATCAATACAATGGATACTACTTGGTCAGCGCCATGTGTACTTCCGGTAAGCACGGCACCCAGACATATGCATGGGTAAGTGACAATCAGCGGAATAACTCTAATGGATCTGGTGCTCAGAGAATACCTATAGCAGACCAAATCAACCGTACCTGTCTCATTATAACTCTGTGATGTTGTAACGCGGATCCTAGGTATTTTGTCTGAATGCGCGTCAACTAAGGAACGATCGTGACCCCCGTACACATGACTCGGCTTAATTCTGAGTGCAAGTGGTACGCCACTAGATCCCATGGTCGTCCTGAAAATATGGGCGAGCAGTAGTTGTCCGCTGGCTGAACCGAAAATGATGTAAAAAGTATATGTGCAAATTAGGAAAAACTTACCAAATGGCCGAACATGCGAAAAGCCATGTCTAAACCGACCTCCTCTCCCATGGCTATCAACGCGACTCCCAAAACTGCAAGACCTTGATGAGCATGGAAGTCGAAGTTGTCATGTCCTTCGATGTCGGCCTCGACAGGTGGTGTGGTGTCCATCGGGGCATTCTGGTCGTTTCCCTCATCGGCACCAGCAGTGGCACCGCCCTCGCCTCCTTCCTCATCGGGAGAAAGTCCATCAGTTGCTTTATTGTTGGTGTTGCGTGCCGCGTTTCCTCGGCGTTGTCTCCCTCGGTTACCGGAACGGGATGAATCTTTCGGCTTCTCTTTGTCTTTGGGTTTTGCTGCGCTTGTCGCCTTTTCACCTTTCTCTTTAGCTTTTGCCTCATATTTTTCCGAAAGAATATGAAGGAGGTTTTGAACTTTGAGGACATTACCACTACCTGTAAATGGGAAAACAGAAGATTGGCACTTCCGAAACAGTCATGAAGTGGGGGAAATTACCGAACACGTAACGATGCAGTAAATTTAAATGGGTAGAGAAAATAACTGGCAATCTAAACGAAGCGCATCAGAGATACTTCCTATGAAGGGTTCACTGCCATTCATTAGCAAACAGCTGCAAGCGGGCAAAGATGTTGCAGGAACAGAGACTCGTATAAGTTTTAAAAAAAGATACATAAATAAATGAAGGGTATACGATGTTAGGTTAGAAACTGGATCCGCTAGGGGTTAGATCAAAGGTCTCACGTTTACGTATGAATATAATAAAACTAATATTATTAACAGTAAAACAGCCGGTTAAGCTGATGATTCACTACCGTATAACCGTAGCGACTTACGGAAGAAGAATAATATGGGCAAGAGAAGGGGGATCTAGCGGAAAAGTGGAATTCCATAGACAAACATTCTGGGTCAAGGCGCCTGCGCCTTGTCATCAAAGTACACGTGCAAACAGCTGGAAATCGTGCAAAGATAAGGGAGAATCAGAGAGGCAACTTTCTTGTGGATTTCTTTACCCAGCGTCCAATCAGCCACTACCCCGCAGATAACTGGGCCCCAAATACACTTTAAACAAGAAGGCAAACTACGAGACGACCGCAAACACACCACTGGTGCTGACTGGGAGTCATGTCTTATAGTGCCTCGAGTCAATCACAAGCCGGGTCGAATGGACCATAGCCCGGAAGGCAACAACGACTAACAGCACTCACGTTTGTAGTGAGTGACTTCATTTCCCGCTGTCAAGTCGTTTGCCCAGCTCGAACCTAGCACCTTACTACATTCGTAAACAAAAAGGCCTTACTCGATAAGCGGTGACAAAGCATACGTAGTAAACATTTAAATCTACGCAACGTATTCAATGTCATTTGTCGTTCTAAGGAACAAGCCTTATTATTACCATCTAGTACTCGCCTACGCATATCGTGGTTGAGGATGCACTGGAGCCATCTGACACCAGCGAAGTGCCTGAAGGCGCCTTACACTGAAGTGGCCATTTCTCACTACCCTCACCGTGGTCCTGTACACACGATCTTGGAGACTGAGGGTAACCCCATGCTGCGGCCACAGATGTCACAGGTTCAATATGGTAGTTGTAGCTTACACAATGCCTGAACTAACTTAACAGCCACACGCCTATCGCTGCTGATGCAGCTGCCAAGGTAGGCAAACGGATCACTACGAATTCCTCGCTATCAAGGGGTCATAAAGTAGCTAGTGGACTTACAATAACACTGCACTTTGATAGTGCGAACCACATGCCAAAAGATGCAAGCACTTTAGCAAGGTTATTCAGGGTTGACCGGGCCACAACATCGTTAGGCAGTAAGACGACATCGTCCGGATATTCAACATCAACCAGCATTTCACCAAGCAGTACCTCAAAGTACGCATCGTGTAATCTCGCAGTGGAACACTCCACGACGAAGTTGAACAAAAATGAGGAAATTGTGCACCGGTGAAAGCCGCTTGGATATGCGACAAATCACCGAAGACCCATGTGCAGTTTGTGGTGTTCGAGTAAAGTGTAAGTAAAATGTTCATATATTTCATTGGAACACAATTCCACGTAAGTAATTCGAACAGAATTGATTGAAGTCCAGAAACGCAGATACTATCAGACTGCGATACGTGTGCCGCTGCTCTAGCACCTGCCGCATAGTGAATTTATAGTCTATACAGCCCCATCCTGGGCGATCTGCTCTTCACTAATTCCGGATTTCCGTTCCTGCAGTAAGCCGACGGTCAAAAGTAGAAGCTAATAGTTTTTCTACCACTCATGTGACTGGTATATCCGATGCAAATACCCTAATTGTATACTGATCGATTCACGCCAGCTAGCTAGGATGGTCTGTTTCTTCCAGAGCTGTTCGCACATATGAGCAGGTAGTTTGCAGAAGACCCCCCCCCCAAATTCTTAAATGGTGCATCTTTAAGGGAATCCGAACAAGGAGTATGAAACCGCTTAGGTGCAGTGATCGCATTGCGGACGTCAGCCTCTGATGAAGCCTCAAACTAACCCTAATAACTCAGCCTGCAACGTCTGAGCAGGAGGCGAAGTGAAATGCCCTCGAATATTCATCGCTCAACAAGTCATGCGGCGCTCCTTATTTTGTAGCAGTGCATCTGCACTGTGTCCAGTTGTTTCACTGTTGTTTGAATTTCCGGGACCAGTGGTGCGGATCAGTTAGAGGCGGCTGCTGCATTTGGCAAACTGGAATCTTGTGTGTGGAACTACCAGCTCACTGTCGGGACGAAACTTCTGTTATGCAAGTCTATGGTGCCGTCTGTTCTTCTACAAGGCAGTGAAACTTGGACGCTGTATCGGAAGGATGTCCGTTATTTGGAGCGCTTCCAATAACAGCGTCCGCCTCGTATTATGCACATCAACTGGGGTGACCGAGTTGCAGATACGTAGGTGCTCCGACGCAGTGGCGTGTACGCAGTGGACTGCATACTACTGTTGAGGGAGTTAAGGTGGCTCGGGAATGCTCGCCACATAGATTCGACCCGGATACCTAAACAGCTGCTATATGACCAAATGCGTGCAGGGAAGCGGCAAGTGGGGAAACCGAAATTACGCTACTAAAACACGCTCAAAATATATCGCGAAGTAATGTTGATTTCGGGTGTTGGGAGTCGATGGCAGTGGATCGACGCCGATGGCGAGAGGGTATCAAGAAGGCGGTTACCCAAGTGCAAGAGAATTCACCACTACAGGTAGAAAAGAAACGTCGGTTAATAAAGCAACAGGCATCGATCGTGGATAGTCCATCGACATGGGTTTCCACCAAGTTGAAGTTCGATATGATACCGGGAAAACGTTTAATTCCTTCAAGACCAGATCTACCAGAAAGGTACACACATTTTGTGTTGGACTTCTTCGTTCATTGGGAGTATTTCGTGGAAATTTAGATACAATTCAGTCTCATTTCTGATTCTGAAATTCCCGTCAATTGGCCACCATCTTGTTTTCGGATTATTCACAATGTCAAAGCAGTCACCCTGTGGTACTTGTTCCAAAATAGTCGGTTACCGTGCAAATGCCCTCAAGAGTGTTTTGTGCCAAGTTAAATACCACATTTCATGTGTTGGATTATCAGTTGAGCATTTTCATCGTGTTCGTGAGATCCAACACGATTTCGTTCAAAAGTTAGGTGAAAATTGCCGAAACAAGATACAGCCAGGAAGAGTAAAGTCGACGTGTAGGCTTCATCATTCCGTTGCGAACAGGTCCGTGTGTTGGGCCCAACAACCTAGCCCGAAGAGCCTTCGGTTTTCAGCTCAGTCTTCCTCCTCTATCGTGCAAACACTCACCGGCACGAAGTCCAATCGTTGTGAGAAGCCCAGTTGCACTTAGCATAAATAGTTTATCTTTGTTGTGTCCAACGGGCACCGATGTCCCATCAGGTGAAAGTCTGAGTGCTGAAAACCAGTGAAAAGAACAAAGAACGAAATTACGAAGGGATGTTGGGCGTTTAACTTTTGTAAGTCAACAGTTAGCCAAACCACGTGAGACTGGTGATATACTTCGCCCTGTAAGGTCAACCTCGTCCGACCAGAGGCGTCACAACCTCGTGATTTTCCACGTGCCGGAGTCCAGTGATTCATCACCCCAGGTGCGCTACGACCACGATGTCGAGCTTTTACAGTCTAATTGACAGACTACTCAACGCTGGTGAGGACTCGGTAAAAGTGAGGCAAAGTACCCGTCTTGGAAAGCAAGGTGATCAACGAAATCGGCCTATGAGAATCACTTTTGTGGACGAAGCCAGTCCAAGACTGATCATGTCCCGCCTAAGTAGGCTGAAAGGTTTGAAGATCCATGTTCGTCCAGACCTGGACCCAGTAGACAGGGAGCGGCTCAAGTCTGCCATCATTGAGCTGAAAAGTCCTACTGATGAGGGGGAAACAAATCTTCGTATCGTAAATTTTCGGATGGTTTCCAACAATCTGCGAATCAGGATAAACAGGTTGCTCACACTTCAAGCATGCCCGGCGGCTTCTGCTGCGGGTTGCGAGTAGCCTTCACAAACGTTGGCAGTGGTATGAATAAGCGCGATGAGCTTTGTTGTTTCGTTGCGTCTGAGCGGCCAGACGTATTGCGACTCGCAGAGACATGGCTGCATGCAGAGTTATACACCCAAGAACTTGAACTCAATGGTTACTCGTGCTTCCGATGCGATAGACTAAAGAATGCCCACGGTGGTGTCTTACTTTACATACGGTCTTCCCTGCGTGAGAGACTTGTGAGCACCTACCGAAGTGATGATAGTTTGTGTGAGCTACTGTGGTGCTCCATCCGCCTCAGGTGCGGAGAACTGCTTAGGGACGCAGTTTATCGCAGCCCCCTGAGTCGTTGTTTGGATTGGCTGCTCATTATTCGAACCCACATGATTCGTCCACACTTTCTACTTATGGGCGATTTTAACTGTCCTCTAATACGATGACCTGATGTGCATTTGATGTCTGGGCCTAGTGAGGTTGAAGCAAAGTTCTTGGATTTGCTACTTGTAACCGGTGCATCGCAACACATATGCCAGCCAACAGGCATAACACCACGCTCAACCCCGTGCTGTCTCGACCTGATGTTAACGAGCTACGAACAACGAGTGCGTGACGTTCGGATCCTGGAGCCCCTGGCTACAAGCGACCACTCAGTGCTCATAGCTGACATGCAATTGTCTTTGCCGTATTGACGTTCGCTGTAACCTGCTTACACCTACTGGAAAACGGACTTCGATGGTCCAGCTCGAGCTGCCAGCCAACTGGATTGGTCTCTGTCACAAGCTGCATCTGTGGAAGACTGTTGGATATTTATAATAGAGAGATTGACATCATTGTGTTCCCCATTTGTGCCATTGAAATGTCGGAAGGTTGGACCGATTAAGCCTCATTGTTTGACAAGGAGTATGGAAACCTGGCTCGGAGGCGGCGCAGA